TGATATGTTGACTGGATAGAGGTGATAAACGTTTCACCTATGGCTCGTAAAATCTACCATGTCGAACGTGTATAATTTTGTTTTCACTCAAAAAAATATTGAGCTTGAAGCAAACACTTCCTGAGCCCAGGTCGCGTTTCATCCAAAACCCAATTCCCACACAACGCGAAAAGATCGATTATCCGGGCGAGCGCTAGTAGCAATGAAACGTTCATGAACGAATCTTTCCCAAGATCCACTCGTCCGTTGACAAGAGCTTCATATGTCGGATATTAATATGAAGTACCTTTTTGGCACTGAGGCCTACCTGGAGTGCATCACTGCTGATCGACCCGAGGCTGACGAAGCCGAGCTAAGGGCTCAGGCACTGGATTACATCAAGAACTTCAAAGAAGGATTGTGGTAAACTGTTGTGATGTGGGTTGTTGCAGGATGTGCATCAGGTCAGAGGATCCCATCGTAACAATCGTGACCGGCGAGCTGCTCCGTGATGGCGACACAGTGGATACTACCAATGCTTTTGGTGAGAGTCGCTTCCCTTCTATGCCTATTGAGCTTCTTCTTCTCAGGTAAGGTCATTGGTAAACAGATTGTAGCCAACCAGGCTGTCATGGACAAGGTGACCAACCACCTGGAGACTCTCACGGGTAACTCGTCAGCTCTCCTTGGATGTCCTATGGTCTTCTCAGCTTCTGCGTGTACCCCTGTTGACCTTCGCGAGCCAATGCGCCGAGTTGAACAGAAGTTCTTATCGGGCCCTGGCGCAGGTGCTATCATCGGCGCTCAAGTGATCGACTTCCAGAAGCAAGATGGTAGGTTATGTTCGTTCGGCAATCATGAACTGCGTATTCCACCAGGTGTTACCGAGATCGTCGAAGCGGTCGAAGCCAATGCAGTTGAGAGGCGTTTCAATGATGCTCTCTTCGAAGACGAAAAGAAGGGAGGTCAGTCGTCCTTTGTTAGCAATGCGATTCATCTAATCTTTCAGGTGTGAAGATTCGTCGTTATCCAGTCTTCGTTGGTTGTGTCAGTAACTTCACCAACTTCCTCGATCTCTTCCGGAAGTCTATCAGGAATATCGAGCTCGGCGTAAGCATCCGCTTTCAATCGTCTGCTTAACCGGTTTACTACTAGGTACCAGTCGTAGTGA